ATATCAGGTTGCCTAGTTGTCTGATTCTCCTGCTATTCCTTTTTTTATTTTTAAGTTTTATCTACGTAAGCAATCTCTGCGCCCAAATTGGGGCTCAAACCCACAACCCTGAGATCAAGAGTCAAATGCTCTACCAACTGAGCCAGCTAGGTGCCCCTCTCCTGACAATCTTTTTACAGGTGAGGAAACCAAGGCTCAGAAACTCAGTGAATATGCCCCAGGCTGCACATCCAGGAATGGAACCAGGGCTACCTGACCTAGATCTTGGGTGGATGGACTTTGGAAGTGCTCCAGGGAACCCTGGAGGGGAGGTGGAGCGGAGGGCTGGAGCATGTAGTGTTGCCAAGGGCTGAAGACCACCCCTCAGCTTTCTGGACTCAGCAAATACCCCGAACTGGTCCTCCTGGTTGTAGCAAGGGAACACAAATGAACACATACACACCATACACGCCAAGGTAACAATGCCTACATCTGCAAGGACCTAGGTCCTGGGGTCCCTCACCAGGCTGCATCCCAGCCTGATCCCAGAATGACCAGTAAATTGGACATGGATGGTGGCCCCAGAGAAAGCTGGGAGAAGGCCATAACTCATGTCCGCATCCCAAACTTCTAGTCTCCCCAAAAGACCTCCATATCAGGGAAATAAAGGACTCCGTTCATCACCAGAGCACCCCATCTTACCCTTAAACCTCCTCTGGGATCCCTCCAGTTGGTCCCTGTCCCAGCAGATCAGGTTCACACTTTAGCCCCCTTGCCACAACTGCTCCTGAGAGGTAAACTGAGGCTGGAGTAGGGAGGGTGCAAGGTCAAGAAACATCCCAGGACAGTGCCACCCCTGTTCTCCTCTAATCTTTAGCCACAGCTGGGGAAACAGTTACTGGTGACAGACAGATTTCTAGGGCTATCCCTGCTGCTAGAAGTAGGGGGCTCCTCGGGCCTTTGCATCAGGGTCAGAGCAGGACTCAGGTCTCTGTGCCCAGAGCCCAGGGAGAAGTCAATGCTATCTCAGACGTGGCAGGGCCTTTAGGTGTCAGAGACGGGTTCCTGAGGCACTGCCCAGAAGACCAAAATGTAGCAGAGCTCTGGGTAAAGAGGTGAAATGCAGGGCCAGAGGGTCAGGTTCTCCCCTGGACAGGGGCAGGTCCCTGGGCTGGGAGAGGCTTGTGCAGAGGGAAGACAGATATTCCTAATATTCCCCTGGGGACACCAGGCATGGCCCAAGGCACTGCCAGGACCCTCCCCACCCCCCTCACCCCTCCCACTCCCACCCAAGTCCAGGAGATGAGTCAGAGGCTGTGGCAAGGAGCTTCCTCCTAGACTAGGAGGAAATGAGCAAGGCCTTCTCAGATCTGAAAGCTCTAAACGGTTTAAAAAGGAAGCCCCCAGGGGAACTCTAGTGGCTAGGCCCAGCCCAATGGGGTATGTGGGGGTGGAGCTCCAGAGGGAAAGTAGGCTGGGCCTTCCTATATTCCCAGGGAGGGAGCAGGGTCTGCAGGGATGATGAAGGTCAGTGCCCAGAGTGGGAGGGCAGATGTCGTCACTTGTCTGTGTCCTGTTCCTCTACTGGACAGATGTACAGAGGATAATGTATTGAGTGGTGATCTCCTTCTTATTCCTGCTCTAGGCCTGGGATGGGAATGCCTGAGTTTCTGGGCCACCTCTCCCCTCTATAGGGCTATGTAGGCAGGCTTGAGTCATGTCTGTGCCCCTGGGGCATACACTTATAGGAGGAGGGGAGGAACGAGAGCTGTTGACGTTTCCTGCAAGGAGGAGCCCTGCTCCCCCTCTCTCAGCTCTCTGATGTCCCTGCCCCTACCCTATTCTCAGTCCTTCTTCCTCCAGCCGTCTATTCCGGGGCTGTGGTCACAGTTTATATTTGGGATGAGCACATCACAGTGTATCTGACCATTCCTGGCACAGCTGCCAGCCCCAGGGAATCCTGGCTACAGGCACAGTGGTAACTCAGTGTGCCCACCAGCATATCCTGCCTGTGGGGGATATGGTAGTCCTCAGGTACACCAAGTGGGAGATCCTAAAGGTGGGGAGACCAGGAATGTCTGAGCTGGGGAGTACTTAACACATTCTCCATCTGAGCTCTTTAGTCTTTAGCTAAGAGTACAGAGCACCTGGTGCAGCAGGGAGATGGGTCCCTAAATGAGGGGAAGAAGAGGGGGTTGTTCTTTTCTGTTGCTGACCTCCCAAATCTGCCCCTAATTGGGAAAAGGTCTGTCAGGGCTAAGTCCTGTCCTAGAGTGGGGGCTGGGAGGAATACTATGTTCTCTGTAATGCACCAGGCTTATTTCAGCACCAGGAGTTCCAGGAGCGTGAAGGCAGGAACCTAGACTCGGTTCAACACCCCTCTCCAGCGCCCATCCTGAATTGAAGGTGGCCTCGGGCTGGAGGTGTTCCTTCCAGGCCCACCTCAGATTGCCCCTTTACAGGGCAGGACAAAAGGGGTTGCATCAAAACACTAAAGTGGGCAGTGTACTGCAACCTTCAAGCCGTGGCCTTGAAGCCCGGGCTCTGCCCGGACACGCGCCACTCCCCCCGCCAATAATCTCACTAACTCTCCCGCCCGCGCTCAGAGGCGGGGCTGGCCCGCAGAGCGAGGAATGCAGGCTGGGGGCCCGGCGCCCGGGGCACATTCCAGGGGAGACCCCGGGCCTGGGGGGCAAGTTTGCGTAACTCGCCCCCCAGCTAAGGCTGGGAGCAGGGGAGGGCACCCCCGCCAGCTCTCTCCTTTTCCTCACCACTCAGTGTGTACTGGCTGGCGGGGAACCCTGGGGGTGGTAGTGCGCCTCCCAGAGTCCTGGTCCGGAAACCCAGCGCGCCGGAAAGCGCTGCCTGCAGGGGGCTGAGCGCAGGGAGCCGGAGGGGAGGTAGGGCCAACCATCTCAAAAAGGGCCTCTCCCAGCACTGTGCACGAGTCGACTCCGGGACGCAGGCAAACTAGGGCAGGCTAGCGGTTTAAAATTAGCCTGGCCCGCCCCCTCCCTTCTAGCAGTGGGCCGGCTGCGGCGGGAGTACGGGATGGTGGAGGCGGTGACTCAAAGGGCTTTTCCACCAGTGCAGCCACCAGCTCTCGGCGTGTCCCGGGCCGGACCGCTTCCCGGAGACTCACCTCACCACGAGAAGTCTCTCTTCTACTGGCACTCCCAAGCGGGGCCCCCACCTACAGGGGCAACACTCCATCCGGCAGGACCCAATCCAGCCTCCAGAAACCGCTCGAGGCCTTGGCCGCCCCCAGTGGCCCGCCCCGGGTCCGCCCCTCTTCTTGGTCCCGCCCCACCTCACCTGAAGCAGGTGGAAGCTGGTGCTTCCCCAGCTCCAACTTTTAGTCCGCTACCACCCAAACATCCACCGTCACCTTATCCAGATCGGTTACCCAGGCAGACAGGCAACTAGTGGACCCCGAACATCTCCTCAGGTGGGCCTCACTTCGAGGGGGCAGCCAGAGTGGCGCAGACCACAAATTCCCATCTCCCTTCTTCAGCTTCCCTCAACTTGAGAGGCGTCCCGCGAAAGCGAGGCAGCGTGGACCTTAAGTCCCCAGTCCAAGACTTTCCCGCAGCGGCGCACCCGCTCCAGCCTCTCCCCGAGGGATACCTCCCAAAGGCTTTCATGGCGCCATGAACCTTTGATCGCCCCCAATCTTTCTCCGGGCCCCCTCACCTTCAGCGGCGCCGCCAGCAGGCGGTGCAGCGCGGGTATCTGCGCACCCAGGGGCAGTGCCCCGTCTAGGCTGCAGGTGGGGGCCCGACGCGGCTCCGGGAAGTTGGCACATGCGAAGGGGTCGGTGTCCTCCAAGTACTGCACCCGCACGGTCACCACTGATACCGGGTCCCCGTCTCTGCGGTCTTCCTCGCCCGCCATCGTGTGTCACTGGCTCGCCCCGCGCGCCTCCGAGAGGGTCCCGGCCCCGCCGCGGCGTCTACTCAACTAGCTCGGCTGTCTGGGCCGGGTCTGACCGGACGCTGCCGAAGAGGGGCGGAGCCAGGCGGAGGCGGGGCCGAGGAAGGGGGTGGAGCCAAGAGTAGTCCCTGAAAGCGCCGGGAGGGGCAACCACTGCTGGGGGCGGGGCTTGCCGCAGCCACTCAGAGGGCGCGATCGTGATCCCGTTAGTTCACTGGCTCTGCGGGCGGGAAAACCGGAGCTCACCCCCCCACCCCCCCCACCGCCCCGCCTTCAAGAGCGTGCCCAGAGCGGGGAGGTTTTCACTGAGCTTGGTGGCGGTGAGGCTGCGTTCTTGTTGAGGGGTTATTCGGGCAGGTGGGGTGGGAATTTCTTCAGATAGTGGCCGGCCGGGTCTCCCTGAGTTTAGGGACGAGATGGTCCTGATTCCTTCAGTTTGAGGGATGAAGTGGATGGGATTCCGTCGTTTGGGGAAAGCAGGGCGATGGATCCCTTTCAGTTTGGAGCAAGAAGTGAAAATAGATTCCACTCAGTTTGAAGGAAGAAGTGGAATCATTTCCCTTTAGTTGGGGTAAGAAGAGGGACGGGTGCCCCTCAGTTCTGGGAAAATGATGTAATGACTCAATTTGAGTGAGGAGGTAGAACATGTTTTTCTCAGTCGGGTAAGATGTGGGATGGGTGCCCCTCAGCTTTAATGAAAAATGGAGACGGTCCTCCTCAGTTTGGGGCGAGATAAGCCCAAATGCCCCTCAGGTTTGGGGTAAAAGGTGAGGGGATCCCTTTTAGTTTGAAGGGACTCGATAGGCCGGGTTTTCTCATAGTTAAGGGAAAGAAGATAGGTTCCCTTCTGTTTTCATGGAAAAGGTGAGGAGACTTTCCTGTAGTTTGACCGAAAGGGAGGCCGGGTGCTCCTCGGTTTGGGAAATAAAGAGGAACAGCTTCCTTATCAGCCTCGAATGAGCTGGGACCAGTTTGGGCCTTGGAGTTTCTGGGGACGTTGAGGAAGGACGGCGTTGTCCCTCACGGCTTTCTGGGAGGGCCCAGTGCGCGTGCGCAGTGCTGGTCTGGGCGGGGGCCCGAAGGGGGTCCTAGGCTCCGGAGGGCGGCGGCGCACTGCCCCCTGCAGTCTGCACGGGGCAGCGTCGGGGCCCGCGCCTTCAGTACCGGCTGCCGGCGGCTCCAGCGGGTCGGCACTAGCGATGAAGGAGATGCGCCCCTCCGGCCTGGACCCCGCCCCCCGCAGATCCCCTCCGCTCCCGCGACGGGCTACCGCCTCCGGCGGGTGGGATGCGGCCGCGCCTCCGGAGGGCTGTGGCCGCTCGCAGCTCTGAAACCGGGTCAGGGGAGCTTTGGGGAAGGTTTGGGGGAGCGGACTCGAAGGAATAGGTTTCGGGACTTGGAGAGCTCGACTGGGGGATTTCCAGAGCTCAGACTGGTTTAGAGGGGGGAGGAGCAGGGGTCCAGAGTCCGGACGCCCGGGGCACGGTCTCGGAGTCCGGACCCGGCTTGGGGGTTTCGGAGCTGGGATTGGGGGGAGCGGGCCCCACGTGCTTGTGACGCGGGGGCGGCCGGTAGGCGCGGCGGCGACGCGGGGCCGGCGGCCGTGCGGTGCCGGGAGGGCGGCTAGGCAGGCGGCAGGATGCTGCGCGCCGCACTACCGCTGTTCGGGCTGCCCCTGGCGGGGGCGGCCGCCACCGAAGAGCCCACCCAGGAGCCGAGGTCGTCCGGCGAGCCTCCCGCAGGGCTGGCGCTCTTCCGCTGGCAGTGGCACGAGGTGGAGGCGCCCTACCTGGTAGCCCTGTGGATCCTGGTGGCCAGCCTGGCCAAAATCGGTGAGTGCGTGTGTGTGAGCGCCAGGCCGGCGGCCGGCAGCGGACCCGCCCCCAACCCCTAGTGCCCAGATCTGGGCCGGCTTCTTGCAATGCCAAGACTCAGGTTCCGATTCCGCAAATCCGGGCTCTCACAGAGTTCCTGCGCCCTGTCTCCCTCCTCCCCTCCCCGCGGGGGAGGTCTGAGGATTGGCCTTCTCTGAGGGCTGCCCCCAGCTCTTCCCATCCCTACACTCTTTGCCCTCTCTGCCCCCCTCCTCCCCATAAGCCCTTCGGTCTGGCCTCTTCTCCACCAATCTCCAGGCTCCTAGAAACCTCTGTCAGCAACAAAGATGTGTGGAGACATTGTGGAGATAGTGTTCTCCAGCGAATCCAGGCATTCTGGATCTGCAGAAGCAGTCTTCCCAGGAGACCACATACAAGTGTCCACTCTCTTGGGATACTAGATTGCCACTTTTCCTCTAGGCCCCCCTCTGCTCTCCTATAGATGACACCGTTCTTTAGGTGTGCTTAGCAGGACCCTCCCACCATGATTCAGATCTACATTCTTCCCTTTTCAGGGTAAAAAACAAACAAAAAACCCTTCCATTTCTTTTTTTTTTTTTAAGATTTTATTTATTTATTTAACAGAGAGACACAGCGAGAGAGGGAACATAGCAGGGGGAGTGTGAGAGGGAGAAGCAGGCTTCCCACTGAGCAGGGAGCCCGAGGTGGGGCTCGATCCCAGGACCCTGGGGTCATGACCTGAGCTGAAGGCAGACGCTTAACAACTGAGCCACCCAGGCGCCCCAACCCTTCCATTTCTTAGGGCCTTACTATCTGCTGCCTACACTAGGTGCTTTCATACATCTGACCTCCTTCAGTCAGCACATTAAAGGTTGTGCTTCACATTCCTTACCTTGAATAGAGCCGCTTTTCCTTGCCTTTGCCCCTTCTTCCCCACTTCTGAGCAGCCAGTGGTCCCTCCTCCTACCAGAGACCCTCCTCCATCTCCCTGTTGTTCAGGCTCTGCTGTGGGGGTGACTAATTATAGCTGAGCGTTGCTACTCCCCAGCTATGCTGGCACAGGCTGTACTCCAATCTCACCAATACAGTCTTCCTGTAGGAATCACACAGCTTAGAATGTGCCCCTCAACTCCCCCAGGGACTCTGCTGGGGGTGGGGGGTGGGGTTGCTGGGCAGGAACAGAAGAACTTTCCACTCTGTTCTTGCAGCCCATTAATAATGGAAAATGGGGCCTGAAGGCCTTCAGGGAACCGAGTTCTGCCCGAGAACAGGCTTTGGTGATGGGTTTTGGATTGCAGTGCTGGGGTTGATGCATGCTCTGGAAGTGAGGATGGAATGGAGTCCCTGAAGGAGAGGAGAGGGGAACTGAAGGTAGGGATGTGTGTGGGCAGATCTATGACTGAATTTACCTTAGGGCCTGGCAGCAGTGAGAGCAAGAGGGAGGAGCCCAGATTTGGGAGCCGAGAATTGGGTTTGCTGAGGAGTTTATGAGTTGCAGGAAAGTTCTTGTTTTATTTAGGGTTTATATAGCAACAACTGTAGTTTCCCCAATAAACTGTAGTGCCTTGCCTAGCTTGGATGTCACCTCCTCTGGAGGTAGAAGAAGAGAGCCTCCTCATCAGACACACACACACACACACACACACACACACACACACACACGAGTCCTCACAGAGGATGGGAGAGATCAGTAGGATGCTCAGGGATACCTTCCCTCAGCTTCATTGCTAGGAGGTTCCCCCCCTTTTTTTTAATTTAATTTTTATTTTATTTTTTTAGATTTTATTTATTTATTTGAGAGAGAGAGACAGAGATAGAGCACAAGTGGGGAGGAGAGGGAGAGGCAGGCTCCCCGCAGAGCAAGGAGCCCGATGCGGGACTTGATCCCAGGACCCTGGGATCATGACCTGAGCCGAAGGCAGATGCTTAACCGACTGAGCCACCCAGGCACCCTCTTTTCCCCTTTTATTCAACAAATATTTATGTAGATCCCCCTGTGTGCCAGGAACTGTTCTAAGCCCTTTGCATATAGCTTCCAAAGGGCACTGTCTTGGCATTGGGTCTCACATAGGCTAACACTTCCACTACCTGCCACTCCAGGTATGGGGACAAGTGTTTACTCAGGATCTCAGGGCCTAGGGGAAAGCCAAAAGAGTTTGTTTTAGTGGGCAAATAGTGGTGATAATGCTAGAAACCCAATTCATAGTTCCTCTTCTTTTCCTGGGGGCAGGTCTGTCATTATTTTCCCCCAGAGTCATTTTTTTAAAGGTTTTTTATTTTTAAGTAATCTCTATACATAACTCAAACTCACAACCCCGAGATCAAGAGTGGCATGCTCTACTGACTGAGCCAGCCAGGCATCCTTCCCCAGAGTTCAGGTAAATTAAATAGCTTGAGATCACACGGTTAGAAAGTGATGGAGCCAGAAGAACTGGAGATCCTCTTACTGCTAAACCCAATGTTTTTTAAGCTATTGTGCCATTAGTTGAGCCTATATAATGAGAAGCACTTTGGGCTAGGAGGTCTACAGTGCTGCTAGGAGATATAATATGTGTTATTGTCTAGATAGGGAGCAAGACACTATATGTTAGGTAATGTTTATTGAGTGCTTATGATAAAGCACTGGGTTAAGTGCTATCGAGTAGATTGTTTTACTTAAACCTTACAACAATTCTATGAGATCATGACTGTTTTTATTTCCATTTTGCTGACAAGAAAACTGAAAGTCAGAGAGGTGAAGTTATGTGCTCCAAAGCCACAGAACTAGTAAATAGAGGAGCTAGTCTTTGAACCCAGGCAGCCTGACTCTAGAGGCCCTGATTTTAATAGCTATGTTATGCATAAAAATATACCAGTTAACATTTGCTGAGGCTCAAATAATAGCTATGAATAAGGGAGATCAGAGAAAGGTGAGGTCCCCTGAGGATGAGAGTAGAGAGGAGGGGGCATTTCCAGAATGGAAAGAGCAAGAAAGGCCTAGTTTACCATGACAGAAGCACCAAGAGACAGACAACCTTAGCTGCAGTGGAGGGCTTGTAGCCATGCAAGTTGGAGATTCTAGCAGTCTTGCCTCTCTTTTCTCCTCCTTGGCCCCAGGGTCAGGGTTCCTGACCTTAGATAACCTTTTAAGACTGGGAGGTTAAAGGCCAGTGTGTGTGTGTGTGTGTGTGTGTGTGTCCCATAAGCTAATACATCCTGCCCTCTTCTTGCATTGTAGTGTTTCACTTGTCGCGGAAGGTGACATCGCTGGTCCCTGAGAGCTGCCTGCTGATTTTGCTGGGACTGGTGCTTGGAGGCATTGTCTTGGCTGTGGCCAAGAAAGCTGAGTACCAGCTGGAGCCAGGCACATTCTTCCTCTTCCTGCTGCCTCCTATTGTGTTGGACTCGGGCTATTTCATGCCTAGCCGGCTGTTCTTTGACAATTTGGGTGCCATCCTCACCTATGCCGTGGTGGGCACACTCTGGAATGCCTTCACAACAGGTGCTGCCCTCTGGGGCCTGCAGCAGGCTGGACTTGTGGGTGAGTGACACTAGGACCTGGACTGGCAGAGGGAGGCTTTGCCAGGTTCATCACCCAACTCCCTTCTCCAGCTCTGGAGATCCCGTATTGGCAAGAGCCATGCCCTGAGAGCTCTGTCTTAGGTCCCTCCTACCTGGAGTGCAAGGCAACGCTCCAGATGGGCCTTCAGCCTTCATTTAGGTCTCTGCCAGTTGAGTCTGGGCTTCTGCAGTATGACAGCTGAGCAGAGGCCTGGCTCCCAGCTGTGTGTGGGCTGCCGAGGCTGGGAAGCCTGCATTACTACTCTGCTGCCTCTTGCCCTCTGTTACCACACTGCCACTTGCCAGTCTTGCTCCCCTGAGGCACAATTCACTGTTCCGTGAGGGCCAACCATCCTGGCTCTGCCCAGGTCACATCAGGGTGGTTTTCTATTATTATTTTTTTTAAATTAAGATTTTTTTTAACGATTTTATTTTTAAGCAATCTCTACACCCAACATGGGGCTTGAACCTACAACCCCAAGATCAAGAGTCGTGCTTCATTCACTGAGCCAGCCACTGTTCAGCCAGGCACCCCCTTACATTTTTTTTTTAAAGATTCATTCATTTATTTGAGAGAGCGTGTACATAGTGGGGAAGGGCAGAGGGAGAAGAGACTCAAGCACACTTGCTGAGCATTGAGCCCGAGGCGCGGCTGCATCTCAAGACGCCATCAGGATGTGAGCCAAAACCAAGTCAGATGCCCAACCGCCACCTAGGGGACCCCTGAATTTTTTTTAAGTAATCTCTACACCCAGCATGGGGCTTGAACTCATGACCTCGAGGTCAAGAGTCACATGCTCTTATGACTGAGCCAGCCAGGCATCCCTGTTGTTGTTATTAATGTTATTATTATTATTATTATAGATAAATCTGTATTATACATCCACAGGATGCAATACATTACACTGAGTGTTCTCTTTTTACTTATCCCATGGACTCTTTATAGCAACCCTGTTGGGGTATAATTTGTCCCACTTAATAGATGAGGAAATAGAAGGCCTTGAACTCATTTGATAACAGGTTCAAGGTTAGTAGGAGAGGTCTGTTTTACTGGGGCTCCTTGTCCTTAGGCTGCCTTCCTACTCCCTTCTTCCTCATTTCCTGTACCCAAATCCATTCAACTCTGAATGTTGATAATTCATACTTCTTCCAAGGTACAAGGGGAGGTGTGCTATTTCTACTTGAGGACTCCAGCCTGGTTTTCCTATGGATGAGTGAACTCTTTGGGGCAGGAAGGGAAGGGAGAACATCAGATAATAATAATAATAACAACAACAACAACAATAATAAGTAATATCTATTAGGTGCTTACTATGTATGAGACTCTGGCTAAATAAAGAAACTTTTGAGGGAGATACTGTTATTATTCCCAATATATACATGAGGAAACAGGCTCACAGAGATTCTATTGTCATATTCAAGTTCTCCCCATGGTGGGTGCTTTTCCTATCATACTTAGCCCTCGTGGATGGACAGCCCCTGCCCCTCCTGCTGACATCCCTTAGGCTGAGAACCACAAGTGTGGGAGAAAGCACTCTCTTGTTCTTGTCCCTGATAAAGCCAGTCAGCAGCCAGTTTCCACCTGCTAGTGGTTCTTATTACTGCAGTTGCAATTTTTATTCTCAGCGCCACCTTAACTTTTCAGGTTACTTAGACTTTCTTAGCCATCTCCTGGGTTGATTTTGCAGCAATCTCGTGAGGTAGGCAGATGAGGAGGCATGGCTTAAGAGAAGTCATGTGACAGTGACAGCGCCAACATCACAGAGCTGGTAAGTGGCAAAGCCAGGCCTTAGGCTCAAGTCTCCTGACCTGCGGGCTGACACTGTCTTAACCATCCCAAGTCCTCTCTGGGCATCCTTGTTTCCACAATGCGGGGGCAGGGGGTGGTGGTGGGAGCCAGGGCTTGTCACGAGGAATGCTGTGGGAGACCAGATACCTCACCAGCTGCTGTCCCTCATCTGTCCCTCAAAAGCCCCTCGAGTGCAGGCCAGCTTGCTGGACTTTCTGCTGTTTGGGAGCCTCATCTCAGCGGTGGACCCCGTGGCCGTCCTGGCTGTCTTTGAGGAGGTGCACGTCAACGACACTCTCTTTATCATCGTCTTTGGCGAGTCCCTGCTCAATGATGCTGTCACCGTGGTGAGAGTGCTCAGTTGGCTGCCATTCCCTGACTGCTGCTACCATGCTCTGACTAGTTGGGTGTCTGAGCATGCTCATACCCTTCCCTGGGTCCCCTGGGGAAGAAATACAGCCTCAGTTTTCACCTTCTCCTGGCAGTCCCATTTGGGCCTTCCCTCTCCTTGCTCCTGACTCTCCTCTTCTCACTCAGGTGCTGTACAAGGTCTGCAACTCCTTTGTGGAGATGGGCTCTGCCAACGTGCAGGCTGCTGACTACCTGAAAGGAGTCGGTCAGTATTTCCCCCTCTTGGCTGGGTTGCTGAGTCCCTGCCCCCAACTGCATCAGGACAGAGGAGGCTGTTGGGTTGCCTCATTCCCTTCCCTCCACTATGGAGAAATGGGATCCTGAGAACCTGAGAAGGGGGGGCTTTCCCAGGATCCTAGCTCTGGGATCCTGACCCCCGGGGAGTACAGTGGGCATTGTCCTCCACTCCCTGCCAGGCAGCAGTCTTGTCTGCCCAGGTGGGGTCCAGGCCTGGGGTCATGCTGACAACCCACTCCTCCCCCAGCCTCCCTGTTTGTGGTCAGTCTGGGCGGGGCAGCCGTGGGCTTAGTCTTTGCCTTCCTCCTGGCCCTGACCACACGCTTCACCAAGCGGGTCCGCATCATCGAGCCGCTGCTGGTCTTCCTCCTCGCCTATGCAGCCTACCTCACTGCTGAAATGGCCTCGCTTTCTGCTATTCTTGCGTGAGTCGTGGGGGCCTTGCATGTAGGCAGCTGGGAGGGGGCATTGGAGATGGTTGCCCCTTACATGGACAGAAGCAGGACCCTGAGGAGGCAATAGGCTTCCCTGAGCCCTTGTGGTAGTGGGAGCCTCAAACTCCCCTGGGGAGACGGCAAACCTCAGGTAGTGTTTCAGGATCTGCCTCCAGAACTGCCCTAGGCACCTCAGAACCCAATCTTCCTCTGCCTAAAGCACTCTCTGGGGTATAGGCTGAGCTAGAAGTGGACCTCAGGTCCTGGTGCTACCAGCTCTAATGGCCACAGCACTTTAAAAAGTGCCTCAGAGAGGATGCTAGTCAGAGCATGTTTCTCGCAGCTTCCCTTCCAGGAGGCACTGAGTGGGAACCTGGAGATTTGGACCCTTATCCCAAGACCACCCACCACTAGCTATCCTGGGATAGTCTCTTTGCCTCCCTGGGCTTCAGCTCTGACGGTCTGACATCCTGTGATGGGCAGTACCCCTCCTGCAGCACGCTCAAACCCCAGAGGCTGCAACCCCTCCTTACTAGCCCTGTCTGTTCATTCCTCTCCCAGTGTGACTATGTGTGGCCTGGGCTGTAAGAAGTATGTGGAGGCCAACATATCCCATAAGTCACGCACGGCTGTCAAATACACAATGAAGACTCTAGCCAGCTGCGCTGAGACCGTCATCTTCATGCTGCTTGGCATCTCGGCTGTGGACTCTTCTAAGTGGGCCTGGGATTCTGGGCTGGTGCTGGGCACCCTCTTCTTCATCCTGTTCTTCCGAGCCCTCGGTATTGCCAGCACCCTCTGCTTTCCCACTCTCCTTTCTGCCCTGTCCCAGCTCATCCCCCACTTTGAGTCCACATCCTTGTCAATTCCTAAGCACCCCCCCTGTCCCATTGCTCACCCCTCCCAACCCCTCTCAGACCTTAGCCCAGATACTTGGTGTCATCCACTCCTGGGTCCTCCACTCCCAACGCCCTGCTCCCACTGGCCTCCCTCCTGCTGTAGGCGTAGTCCTGCAGACGTGGGTGCTGAATCAGTTCCGGCTGGTCCCTCTGGACAAGATTGACCAGGTGGTGATGTCCTATGGGGGCCTGCGGGGGGCTGTGGCCTTCGCTCTCGTCATCCTACTGGACAGGACCAAGGTCCCTGCCAAGGACTACTTTGTGGCCACCACTATTGTGGTGGTCTTCTTCACAGTCATTGTGCAGGTGGGAGAGCCCATGAGGGTGGGTAGGGAGAGGGTCTGGCAGGCCCTGGGGGAGGCATGGAGCCTTTGGGACCGGGGCTCTTCTCTTTGGGGGATAGGGACCTGACTTCCCAGACCTTGAGTGCAGTAAGGTGGAGGTACAGAAGCTGAGGTGTAATTATGGGGAGAGAAGGGCAGCAGGGAACTGGATAGGGCAGGGCTCACCTGCTGCCTGTCCATAGGGCTTAACCATCAAGCCACTGGTCAAGTGGCTGAAGGTGAAGAGGAGTGAGCATCACAAACCCACCCTGAACCAGGAGCTGCATGAGCACGTGGGTACCAGAACCCCATCCCTCCACCTATACCTCTCTTCCTTCTATTTTGAGCAGAGTCCTGATCCAGTCCCCCTACCCACCCCCTTCTAGACTTTTGACCACATTCTGGCTGCAGTGGAGGACGTTGTGGGGCACCATGGCTATCACTACTGGAGGGACAGGTGAGGGAGCTCCCCCAAGGCTCCTTCAGCAGCTGCAGCCCCACCAGCCAGGGCAGCATTGGGGATGTGCCACACTTCTGAGAAGGGACACAGCCAAACTTGGGCTGGGTGACCTCTGCCAGGAGCTCTTCAGTGGCATCCCAGTACTCTCAGGATAAGACAAGTCTTCCCAGGGAGGCCTGCCTGGCCCTGTGTGGTCTGGCACCTGCCAGACTCCAGCCTCATCGTGTTCTGCTCTGCCTTTGACTCTCTGCCTGCTAATTACACGGATCCTGGTTTAGAACCTCAGGACCCACTCTGCTTCCCCCACCCTGCCACTGGGACCTTTGCCCATATTCTGTGTATTAGAACATTCCCTTACCTCCTTCTCGCCTACTTAACCTGTTCATCCTTCAGATCTCACCATAGGCATCAATTCTCTAAGGAGGACTTCCCTGGCCTCCCTGACTAGGACAAATCCCTATCATACTCTGTGCTTTGTAGTTCTTGTTATGGTTGCAATTTTAGTTGTTGCAATAACTTCAATTTAATGTCAGGCTTTCCCATAAAGCTGTAAGTTCCATAAGGGCCGGGATTAGCTTTGAGATTCTCCCTGGCTGAGGCCCATACCAAGAGAGCCAGGCCAGTGCTGGCAGTGCCCCTGCCCCATCTGAGGAAGGGCCAGCCAGCTGGGCTTTGGGGATGGCACTCAGGGCTGGGCCTGACGTCCTCTGTAGGTGGGAGCAGTTTGACAAGAAGTACCTGAGTCAGCTGCTGATGCGGCGGTCAGCCTACCGCATCCGGGACCAGATCTGGGATGTGTACTATAGACTCAACATCCGGGATGCCATCAGCTTCGTGGACCAGGTGGGCCAGTAGCCAGTGGTGGGTGGGCAGGTAGCCAGCAGAGCAAGGCAGGAAGGGGTGACAGGCAGGACCTGAGCAGGGAGTTGGGAATTCCCAGCTGACTCCATGGTCTGGTAAAGTGGTAGCTGCAGGCACCAGCCTGACCTGATGCTAAATTCAGAGTCTGGCAGGCAGTAGAGAAAGGTGAGAAAGAGCTGGACTCTCGAGTCAGCAGATGCAGTTCAATTCTTACCACTTACAGGCTTGTGATTTGGGTAAGTCCCTTAGCCTCTCTGAGCCTCAGTTTCCTCAATTGTAAGAAAGCAGGAATAAGAATACCTATGTCACGGAGTTTTGTGGATTCAATATTTAAAGTGCGTAGCACAGTACCTGGAAGATCAAAGAGCAGAATAAATGTTAACTATTGTTCTTTTTATTACCCTTTGACTGTCTGGGCCCCCCTCCATCTGATTGCCGTCTCACCTCTGTCTTGGCCCCTGCAGGGAGGCCATATCTTGTCCTCCACAGGGCTCACTCTGCCCTCTATGCCCAGCCGCAATTCTGTGGCAGAGACCTCTGTCACCAACCTGCTGTAAGTCCTTGAGCCCCCTTCCAATTCCTCAAGCTCCTCTCTACTGGGCCCTCTCTGTGCATCCCTTTTGGGGAAGATTTGTGGGCACCTTTGCTTTTTGCCCTCCCCCTGGCCTGTGCCTCCTGGCCCCTCCCCGCACACATGTTCCCTGCCTCCTGCAGGAGGGAGAGTGGCAGTGGAGCGTGTCTGGATCTGCAGGTGATTGACACAGTGCGCAGCGGCCGGGACCGTGAGGACGCTGTGATGCACCATCTGCTCTGTGGAGGCCTCTACAAGCCACGCCGCAGGGTGAGAGCAGGCAGGGTGTGAGAGTTCCAAAGGGAGCTGGGGCGGGGGGGTTGGGGAAGGTTGGTCTGGGGAAGCCATGACTACAGGCTCAAGAGGCAGTTGGCACCAGCTAGTGGAGAGCTAAAAACACCCAGTTGAAGAGTATGGGTTTCATCTTGTTGTAATAACTTTTAGTTTTTGTTGTTGTTGTTGTTTGTTTTTTTTTTTGAGAAAGGGTTGGCCTGATAAAAGCACTGTTTAAAGATGTCTTCTTCTGGTAGCAGAGCACAGACCAAATTGGAGGGGTGAGGTGAGAGACGGGGAGAGCCAGTTGGGAGGCCAGATTGAAACACCAGATCGGACCTGGGTGGTGATAAGGGAGAGGAACACATAGGATTGGGTGGTTGTCCTGAAGGGGAGAGGAGGGGACAGACTACAGAGGGCTTGATGGGGTCACAGACAAAAGCAGAAGTACTGGAGGAAGCCTGTGGGACCAGCTTAGCATGGGGAAGGCAGGCATCTCTTTTAGGTAATGTTAGTCTAATGCAGGTCAGGAAGCTTTGGGGCTCGAAGGCCCAGCCCATCCGGGAGGGAATCTGCTGCAATCCCACAAGAGGGCAGCAAGCCATTACATTGAACTTTTCTGAACCGGGAAGGCAGCTGTTACGATTCCTGGCAGCTGAAACAGTCCAGGTTATTTCTTTCATTGAGACGGAATTGGCTTCCCTTAACTCGGTGGCACTGGTCCTAATTTGACTCTCTGCAGCTCTGCAGATAAACCTTCAAAGGTTCCAAGACAGTTCCCTTTCACACAGGCCTTCTTGCCCTCAAGTCAGCATTGCCTCTCCCTGGTGTGTCTTCTCTGGTCATTAAGAAACAAGGCCCAGAAGGCTCCTCTAGCTGTGGTTGGTCAGGGCATGGCATAGGGGCTCTCCTACCTTTTTAGCTCTAGAATTTGCCATTCTCTTCCCGCTGCTCAGAATTCCCCCAGCTTTGTTTTACCACTCTGAGGCTCCATATTATCCTTACAATTAGACACACCCCCATAATCTTCCTCAGTTAATGACTGTTGAACTCTGTCTTATCCAACCTGTGGGGTTTTTGTTTCATTTTGTTTACTTTTTTCTCAAGGCAAATTTTACTCATTCACAAAACTAGACAGAATAAAATAACTCTCATGTATCCATCGCTCAGCTCCTCTATCAATGCATGGTTAATCTTGTAACATGCTGTACCCCCACCTCACCCCATCCACACTTTATTATCTTAACTCCAGACATATCATATCATATCACCTCTAAATATTTCAATATGTGTCTCTGTGTGGCAGGAACTCCCTATATGTATTCATGTATATGTATATTATATATATATACACATATATATATAATAGTACTGTTGTCACTCACAACAAATAACAATAATTCCTTCTCACATGAAATATCCAACCAATGTTCATAAACATCTGTTTTCCAGATGGTTTGTTTAAACCAGGATCCAAATAAAGTCCACACTTTGCGTTTGGTAAATATGTCTCTTTATTAAAGAAGAAATCTCTAATAGTTCCTTTTCCTTTTCACCCACTTGCTTATTTATTTATGAAGAAACTGGATACTTTGTCTCAGAGAATTTCCCATTTTATGGATTTTACTGATTGTATTCCAGTGGTGGTGTTTAACATGTTTCTCCATCCCCTGTATTTCCTGGTAGTTAAATCTAGAGGCCTGGTCAGATTCAGGAACTTTCACTAGGTATGCTATGTATTTCTTATTGTATCACATCAGGATGTACGTAATGATTGGTTGTCTATGGATGTGTGTACTAAGATTGGTCAATGGGTGCAATTCTTATGTAGTCAATTAAAAAAAAACTGGAGTAAGATTGTGCTTATCCCTGTTAAATGTCATCTTATTTGATTTAGCTTATCATTCCATCGTTTGGATCCCATGTGTGGCACCAAATATCTGTTCAGATTCACATCATGTGAAAATTTACTAAGCCTGTTAACTTTGTATTCATCCAAATCAACATAAAATGTTGAACAGGATAGAGCTGAGGAACAGAGCCCTGTGGCATGCTACCAAAGACTTTCCTCCAGACTGACATGGATCAAGCATTTTTGGGTATGGTTACTCAACTAGTTCTGAGTCCACTTAGTTATACCATAACACAATCTGTAATTCTTCGTGTTCTTCACAGAAATGTCATTAGAGAGAGAGAGAAATGTCATCAGAAAGAGACAGAAGTGTTTAGTATGCAGTTACAAATAGGAGATGATAGTTTAAGAGAGAGATAAGGGCTAGAACTAGCAATTTTTTTAAAAGATTTTATTTACTTAACAGAGAGAGTGAGAGAGGGAACACAAGCAGGGGAAGTGGGAGAGGGAGAAGCAGGCTTCCCACTGAGCAGGGAGCCCGATGTGGGGCTCGATTCCAGGATCCTGGGATCACAACCTGAGCCACCCAGGCGCCCCTAGAACTAACGATTTAATAAGCAATCTTTATCATCAGAGGTTTCCTCACCTGGTGACATCAGAATCCCCTGGGGCAGCTTGCTAGAATATATATTCCTGGCTTCACCTCCTGGAGATTCTGATTTTGTAGTATGGAATGGGACTAAGAATCTGTGGGCTTAGTAAATTGTGCAGGTGACTGAAATGCAGTTGGTCTGATGGCATCATGGTCTCTATCACGAGGCTAGCTGAAGCTAGGGGAAGGGCTAGTTCACTGCAGAGAACATTTAGAGGGGAGAGAGGAGGGCCAAGGACAACACTGTGAGGAATCCACATGGGAGAAAAGGAAGGGGAGCCAGTAAAGGAGGGGAGAGGAGCTGTAGCAGGTGGTGTCTCGGAGGCCTGGGGCAGGACAGCTGGATGCTCCACAGAGGTCAGGTCAGTGCCTAACCAGAGGCCATGCCATGGCACTGGTGACCAGGGAGAAGGCAGCACCATGGACTCGTGAACCCCGGAGTTATATTTCTGTTTTTAAGAAAGTAAGGGGTATGAGGGAAAGTGTCAGAATCATAGTATAAATGTTTGGCAGCAAAAGGGAAGCAGTGGCTTCAGTGGAAAGGCTTTCTTCAGGGGAATATGGGCAGGAGCATGCTTAAAGGCAGGGGATGGGCATGGTGAGGGGAGGAGTGAAGGTGCTGGGGCAGGGGGAATGGGAGGGAGCCAGGAGCTGATGGAGGCAGGGAGGAGTGGGTTGAGCAAAACGGGCCAGGGTTCAGGGGGAGGCCTGTGAGGGAGCTGATTCCAGCACCCCCAGGAGAGAGGGGTCCCTCTGGATGATTAGGTAGAGGAGGGTAGATGGGAAACTTGAAGGGAGCTCTTAGAACTGGCTCAGGGCAGCAGAAAATAGGAAGCATAGGAAAAGATCTTACTGGGGAGGTGAGCCCAGATGAAACGATTCAGACCAAATGGCAGTACTTCTATCTGGCAGTCTAGGTAGCTACGTAGTGGGCTTGGTCTTTGTGAGAAAGAGTGGGAAGGAACAGATGATGGGGGTGGTCCTGGATTGGGTGCAGGTGGCTGTTGGGACCAAGAGGGTCCAGGGTGTCAGGAGAGAGAGTTCTGGAAGTCCAAAGTTTTTGCAGAAATGGCTGGCTGGAGAGTTCATTGTGGAGGGAGAATCCTGTGTACTGGGGGTTGGGGAGGGGAAAGGCACAGGGGACCAGGCTCCTACATGGAAGTGCTAAGAAGGAAATGTCCCCCACAGTCTCATAGTAGCCCTGAGGGACAAGATACAGGGTCTCCGGCCTCTTGTTACTTCAAGTCAGGGGATTGGGAAGGGCAGTAGAGGATAGAGACAGCGAGATTTGGGGGGAATGGATTCGTGATAAAAAGTTTTTCCTCCAGTGAATTGAGAATACAGAGTGTCTGGCTGGGTTCCTATTGTATTTTTTGTTTTTTTAATCCATGGTTGGTTCTGGAAAAACTGGGCTGGCAGGGACTATGGTGCACATGGTGCTGTGGCCTGGGTTCCTGTGGGAGGCCAAGGCTCCCAGCCTCATGGCAGGGCGGGGCTGTCATTGCCAGTACAAAGCCAGCTGCAGCCGCCACTTCATCTCAGAGGATGCTCAGGAACGGCAGGACAAGGAGATCTTCCAGCAAAACATGAAGCGGCGGCTAGAGTCCTTTAAGTCCACCAAACACAACATCTGCCTCAACAAGAGCAAGCCACGACCTCGCAAGACCAGTCGCAAGAAGGCACGTGCTTTCTCTGGGACTTCTGTTTGGGGCTGGAGGCTGATGGTGCATAGTTTCAAGCTCCCAAGTATTGGGATCCAGCCCAGGGGGACCCTGAGTTGGATAATCCTCAAGGCCTTGGTGGGTGCAATAGTTTGTGTTCCCTTTTGCATCCTCCTGGAGTCCCAGAAGGGTAAGATGAGGCCTTCTGGGGGAGATCTGCCTCTTGCTGTGTGGGCGGTCACCTGCTGGGAGGCAGCAGGACCTCCTACCAGAAATGAACCCAGCAAGAGAAAGGCAGGTTCCTGGGGGCAGGGCAGGGGGAGCTCCATGAGTCCCTAATTCAGGCCACGCTGAGGCATCCCGAGCCCTTGCTGGGGCATAGGTTACTTACACTCCACAACACTTGCCTGGGGTGCCCCGGGTGGATGGAACCACTGGGATTGACACAGATTCCCAGCCCCGCTGTGTCAGGGAGACCCTACCAGACAACAGGGTTGGGGTTTTGAGCCACAATCAGAGGCTTAGGGTTTTTTTCTTGGTCCTCAGAAGGATGGCTTGGCTAACACTGAGGCCACAAATGGGAAACCTCCTCGAGACCTGGGCTTTCAGGACACAGGCAAGCAGGGAGTGGGGGTGGGGCTGAGGATGGGGTGGGAGGGCAGAGGCCCATCAACCAAAATCTGGAGGATCCCCTCTGTGCTGCATTCAGTGCCATAGGCTGAGGCTCCTCCCTTCAGGGACCTGACGGGCTTACTTGATTTCAAAGCTGACCATGTTCTAAGCAGTTCTTAGTTTGTGGCGGGAGGTGTCTGGTAGCTAACTACAGGTTATAGGCCCTGAGGACTTGGAGAAAGTATCATGGAGAAGGGGGGAGCTTGAAGGATGGGTGTCCCCGAGCCCAGTGTCCTGTCTGCAAAACCAGGAGTTTGGATGAGCTGAGCATTGATGGGCCTTCCACCTCTCCAGATGCGCTCATGTTTTCAGCTGATGACGGGTCCAGGTCTGAGAGAACAGGATGGAGGGGCTGGAAAGTAGGACCTCCCCGCTGGCTTCCTCTGAGGAGGGGCTCTGCAGCCCCACCTCCCTTCCTCTCCAGCCCCAACCCCTAGGCCAGTGCTGAAATAGCCAGAGGAGAAGGTGGGGGGCTGTGCCAGCCATGGGCTCTTGCCTGGGTGGACGGAGAGCTGGCTTGGGCTTAGGCGGCACCAAGAAGCAGCTGCTGGGCTGGCCATCTCCACTCATCTTGTCCCCGTCCAGCTGCTGTGATCTTAACTGTGGAGTCGGAGGAGGAGGAGGAGAGTGACAGTTCAGAGACAGAGAAGGAGGACGACGAGGGGATCATCTTTGTGGCTCGGGCCACCAGTGAGGTTCTTCAAGAGGGCAAGGTCTCAGGTAATGCTTCCCTCCCAGTCTACCTCCCCTGGGGCAGGCTGGGGCTGTGCAGCCACCTTCTTCCCTCTTCCCTCTGGCCTTCCCTCCAGACAACTCCCTTTTCCTACTCATTTATTCACCACGCAGCATTTCCCAAGCATCTCCTTTATAATCAGACATCTGACATGCCTGATCTGATTCAATCCTCACAACAACCAAGATGGGGGAACTGAGCTCATAGAGCCAAAGGGTCTTGGAATCTGTCCATGATCCCACAGCAGTACCAGAATTTGAACCTGACCCATCTGACTCCAAAGCCTGCAGCTTTGTCACTGCCTCTCAGCCTCCCTTTACAGTCTGGCGAGGCATACGAGGCGACAAGCAAACCAAACACCAGGCTCTGTTGTGACCCATGCTCAGCACACCTGCCCTCAGGTAGAGCCCCTGGTGAGGATGGCAGCCTGGCCTGGGGGAGGGGTCTGAATTCATCAGAATGGCATTATTGCGGATAAAAAACAATATATATGTGTTTCCATATGTGGAGACCTAACTTACTCATAATATCACTGCTAGTTGGCTCCAGCATCCTCAGGTGTCATTTCTAAAATGTTTATTATAGAAAATTGCAAAATATACAATAGACAGAATAATAAACTTCCATCTACCCATTACCCAGCTTCAATAATTACCTACTCCGAGTCTCATTTCATCTATCCTCTCTCACCTATGCCCGTCTCTTCACTGGGTTCTTTTGAAGCAAATCTCAGATATCATTCACCTTGTCAATAAATACTTAAGTATGTATCTTTAAAAGATAAGGATTCTTCTTAAAAAATATTACTCATAATACCATTATATCTAAAGTCTTTGTCACATGTTCAAATTTCCCTGATTGTCTTAAATTTTTTTTTTTTTGCAGTAGATTTCAAATAAAAATCCATACAAGGCCCACACATGACATTTGGTTGCTAAGTCTCTTTTATCCTACAGCAGTGGTTCTCAAGGGGGTGGTAGTGGAGTGACTTTGCCTGCAGGGGACATTTGGCAATATCCGGAGCCATTTTTGGTTGCCACAACTGGAGAGGCGCGCTTGCATGTAGCAGGTACAGGCCAGGGACGCTGCTAAATGTCCTCTAATGCATGGGACAGCCTACAGCAAAGTATCTGTTCCATCTTGTCAGTGATGTCAAGTTTGAGTAACCCTGATTTACAGGTCCCCCCCTCCTTTTTTCTTTCCCATGTATTTATGGAAATAATCTGGTTATTTGTCCCAGTCTTTCCTTGTCTGGATTTTGCTGAAAGAATCCCCAAAGCATCATTTTAATATGTTTCACTGTGCCTTATATTTCTTTTAAACCAGTCATTAAATCTCGATCAGATGTCAGTTTAGATGTTTTGCTAAGAATCTTTGAGTGGCGGTGATGGCGTACTTTGTACCATGTCACATCGGGAAACACATCCCCTCTGGGGTCTGTCTTCTGTGAGGTTACTGTTGATCACTGGGTTCGGATGGTAACCTGGCCCACCCACTGGGAAGTTCACCAGTAGCTGTTCGGCAGTGTTAGCAGCCACTGACGGTCATCGCCAGACCCAGCACTGCATCCAGGGCTGCACAGTGGTCATACTCTCCATCTCCTTTGTCATCTGCGTTACCAGCACTTCTTTAAAAACTTCACATCAGTGACTTCATTACTTTGAGGGGCAGTTCATACAGGAAAGAATAGATGAATGCTTGATTTTTTTTTTCCTTTCACTTAACAGTTTTCAGGCCAATGAAGCCTCCTCCAAAGGTGAAGATTGAATTTTGTTGTTGTTTTAGTCTCGTGGTGGTGGTTGTTAAAATTTAATATTCCGGGTCTTTCAAGAGAGGGAGTTTTACTTCCAATCACAGCATCAATACATTTCATAACGTACTCGACTGCGCAGGACTTTATCAATGAGCAGGTACAGACTGAGCACCTGTTATATGCAAGGCATTGTGTTGACTTTGGAGAGCAGGGCGTGGGAGGTGGCCCAGGGGGCTTCTCCTCTTTCAGAACCTCGGACTTCCTGTCACACAGTGGCCCGGCCTCCCATGCCGGCTGCCAGCAGTGCTGGGACTCCTTGGCTCAGGTCCCCTTTGCGGCACAGCGTCTCGCCTGCTATGGGGTTTGCATGAGCTCACTCTCCTGGGCTCTGGTGCACCAAAGGGCTGTGGTGGGTGCTCAGGCAGGGCGTCCAGCACCAAAGCCTTTGGCGTGGAGCCTCGAGGTCTCCCTCACCCTCAATGCTGTCTCCTCTGGGACAGGGCCTGGCAGGATGTGGTTTCTGAGGCCAGTGCTGCAAGTTGGTGAGGACTGATCACAGATGGGCTTTCTTCCTGCCTGGCGCCTCTTCTCTCTTGAGTTACCTTCATTCATTTAGTCAGTATTTGCTGAGCAACTACTCTGTGCCCAGCCATGTGCTAGGTGCTGGGGATATACAATGGAGAGCTTTCCCTCATCAACTAATCGCACATATGGATGTATTAGGGCAAATGTGGAATGAATTTATTTACGACAACGTGGTGATACTTGAAAAGGATTCCACTGTGTTACTAATGAGTGCATATGTACTCTCTGTCCCCAGGGAGCCTTGAGGTGTGCCCAAGCCCACGCATCATCCCCCCCTCCCCAACCTGTGCAGAGAAGGAGCTACCCTGGAAGAGTGGGCAGGGAGATCTGGCAGTGTACGTGTCCTCGGAAACCACCAAGATTGTGCCCGTGGACATGCAGGCGGGCTGGAACCAGAGCATCTCGTCCCTGGAGAGCCTGGCGTCCCCGCCCTGTACCCAGGCCCCGACTATGACCCGCGTGCCTCCTTGCCCGCTGGCCGCTGAAGAGCCCCAGCCCCCTTTCGACCTGCCTTATGATCCACGCCCTAGCTTCGCCTTTCCCCCAAGCCTGGCCAAAGCAGGCCGCTCTCGCAGTGAGAGCAGCGCTGATATCCCCCAGCAGCAGGAGCTGCAGCCCCTCATGGGGCATGAGGACCGCACCCACCTTAGCCCACGCGCAGCCAACTCCCACTGGTGCATCCAGTTCAACAAAGGTGGCCGGCTGTAGCCCACGGACTCAAGGAGGAGCAGGAGGCTGGACGACCATGGGAAGTCTTCCCTGGGCAATGGTCAGAGGAGCCCACTTAGCCTAACAAGGAGCCAGAGGAGCCTGAACTAGCAACTGGGCTTCCCTGGGGCAGGTCAGAAGGGTATCCTGGACTGGTCCTCACAGGGACCCTTTCACCACCTTCCCTTTCAGTAAGGCCCTTACCCTGGCTCAGGACCCAGTCCAGAACTTCTAGGGGCTAGGCCCAGCCACTTGGGAAGCTGATGCCCTTTCCTCAGTGGGTCCCCCTATGGTCACTCTTGTCAGCTGTTCCTGCCCCCAAAGCAAGGGCATCATTCCATAGCTGATGCTGGTCTTTCCTGCCCTCCACCCATTCCCCAGCATCAGCTCAAGGACAGTGCCCTGGCACTGAGGCTCTTCAAGGGGCTGGTCCTCAGAGGGATGGGGGTGGGAGGTGGAGCAGGCCTCAACCTTAGGCTTTGCTGCCCTGTTGGGTCAGCTACCTAGAGCTTATGGGGGGGGGGGGGGGGAGCAGTGGGAACCTGTGTCCAATTCTTTATCCCCTTCCCTTTGCTGCCAGTTATTGGGGCCATAGTTCTTCCTTTGACAGGATCAAGGCCACAGGGCTGGGCCAGGCTTCAGATCAGGGCTGTTTCTTGGTAGGGGTCACTCTGAAGATCAGCTGCTCTGTATCCAAGTCTGGATCTTTCAGATTCCTGGGTCTGGATTTTCTGAGGAAGGGAGATAGTGGCCTCTGGGCCACGACCACCTTGACATTCCCCAAATAGGAAAGGAGCCAGGTATTAAAGGGCCACCGTCCCACTGCTCTGGGGGCTGCGATGCCTGGCTGCAGTGGGAAGGGGGCTGACTGGGTGGCAGGTAAATTTCCTGGGGTTAGCACCTGCCCTGTGTCTTGTATCTTGAACCTAAGACACATTAAACATCTCTCAGATGAATGGGTGTCCTGTGTCCATCTGTCTGGGGGTCCTAGGGGTGCGGGGGCAACTGGGATATCTAATGAGGGAAATAGAACCTTACAACTGCCTGCCCTGGGGCTTCTAGGAGAGAGAATGGAGGGGGATCCTGGGAAGGACTGTTAGGCCCTCTGGCCCTCTTTTCCCTCCTCCCTCATACCTTCCCAACATGGTACCCTGAGCGGGGGGCCTGCAGTGGCTGTCCAGGGATCGTTGTATGGGCACAGGGTCACAGAACTGGGAGTCCACTCTAAAATAGGGAGGCCAGCAGGAAAAGCGACCCCAGAAAATAGGTCCCAAGGTACCCAAAGATGTAGCCAGCACATACTGGGACCAGATAAAGCCTTCCTTGAAAACCTGAAGGCAGGTGTAGGACAAATAAACAGAAGTCCTCTGCCCATGGCAGGTGGGAGGCCAATCTCAAGGGAGCTGCTTACCACTCAAGTTTACACTATAAAGTGGGTAGTGTGGGGTCCAGAAACATCTAGGGACCAAAATCCTTAGACAATAGCAGCCCCAGATTCAATTCCCACTGTGTCTAAAGGACTTTTAAGAAGACATCCATCTTTATTGAGATATAACACATATACTACAAAACTCAACCATTTAAAATGTATAGTTCAGTGGTTTTTAATATATTCACAGAGTTGTACAACCTCATCACAATCTAAGTTTAGAACATTTTCATTATCCCCAGGAAACCTTGTGCGCATTGGCAGGCACTCGTCATCCCCTGCCTGCCCAGCCCTAGGTAATCACTAACCTACTTTCTGTCTCTATAGATCTGAAGGACTCTCGACACTGCGAAGGTTACACAGGTAGTCAATAAACACTTTACCTTCTCTGGGCTACGAATGGGAAAATGGGAAGAAAAGAGGAGTGACTTGGGCTTTGCCCTCACATTGTTTAGAGCTGGCAGTGACAGGACCTAATAGTTAACAGTCCAGCTGTCACTTACCAGCTATGGCAGCTTAGGCACGTTACATACTGTCTGTGAGCCTCAGTGTCTTCATCTCTTGACAGATTTATAAGTTTGCTGTCAGGATGAAATGAAAAAAATGAGAAGAACCTAGTATACAGCATGGCCCACAGTAAGGGATCGTTAATGTTGGCCATTACAGGTCTTATACTGTAAGGCAAGGAGCAAGGAAAGTGCTGTGGGACTCTGAGGAGATCTGGGGAGGCTTTGTGAAGAGCTAGTGGGTATGAAAGTGTGTGTGTGTGTGTGTGTGTGTGTGTGTGTGTGTGTGTGTGTAGGGGTTCAGACAATACAGGCAAATTTGGGTGGATGCATTCCAGGTAGAAAGAGCAGCATGCCCAGAGCACACATGGCAAAAAGCTGGGAGCAGTGGGTGATATGCTCTGGAGAAACCAGCCAGGAACACACAGGCTGGGGTGGAGGTGGCAGAGAGCTGGCCTGGGAGAACTGTGATCTGGGGAGTGGTGTGGGCAGTGATACGCTTTAGGGAGCTCAAATGCAGTTGGTGCCAGATGGAATGAAAGAAACCCCGGGTGGAGGATAGACTGGTAGAAGGGAAGGCTGGAGACAGGAGGCTTGTTCTGCTCAAGCAGCCTAGGGATATGAAGAGACTGGAGAGGGCAGGCAGCCATTCTCGGACTTTAGGGTCACAATCACTGAGAGCTGTCAAACATGCAGATTCCTGGAGCACCTGGGTGGCTCGGTCAGCTAAGCATCCGACTCTTGGTTTCGGCTCAGGTTGTGATCTCGGGGTCCTAAGATTGAGCCCCATGTCGGGGCTCTGCACTCAGCGGGAAGTCTGTTTGAGATTCTCTCTCTCCCTCTCCCTCTGCCCCTCCCCCTCCTCACCCCCCCTCTCTCTAAAAATAAATCTTTAAAAAAAAGCCATGTAAATTCCTTGGGCCTGTCCCAAGGTTCTGACTTAGCAAAGCAATGGGGACCCAGAGATCTGTAATCTTAAGCAGCTCCTTGTGAGGGAGATCACAAAGACGACATTCTTTGAGAATTTTTAGATTAGAAAGGTGGTAGAAATTAAATCCACACAATCAGGCAACTCACGGTGTAGGAGGAAGGGGTGCAGAGGGGCTCATGGGCTTGGCGCTGGGTAACTAAGGATAGTTGGACGTCTGGGAAGACAGGGTTAGTCAGAGATGGAGGGGGAGAAAGCAGGTGAGCAGAGCTGGGGGAGAGGCAGGCATGTGGGATGCAGGAGACTGAGCAAGTCAGGAGCTCATCCATGGCTCACCACCTGACTGGGCAAGATGATGGACAGACATGGCCTTCAAGGTGACCTAAGCTGCAACCAGGTTTTGAAGGAGGAAGGATTTTGACCAGGGGAGATGAACACGTTTGAGACAAGATTTGTGATCAGATGAGTTTTCTAGGCCAGTATGGAGTTTGGAGTTTATTTAGGCCAAAAGTGAGAAAAGTCTGGAAGTCTGGTATTATCACCCTTGCTGTCTGGGGCAGTACTGAAGAGAGTGTGCAAGGTTTGGGGTGGAGTAAGGGCAATGACTTTGGGTGTCTTATCACTAGGCCCACAGCCCCCATCTTATTTTTGATTGATTTATGTTGGCAAGGAATGGGAGGCTGAGGGAAGGCTGGGGAAGGGGCAGGGAAGGGAGGCCCAACCCCATTTTATGATCTCAGTGGAAAAGGCTGCTGTGAGTGAATTTTGCTGCCAGCAGAGCCACAGAGATGGGCCCCATGAGTCACTCCTCAGTCCTGCAAGCTCAGCCCTGCAGAGCCTGCTGTGGTCAGCGGCCTGGGTTGGTTCCAGGCCCAGCCCCCAGTGTTCCCCCACTAGGCCTCTGTGTGTCCCCATTTCTATCCGTATCTTTGCCATCCTAGGGCTGTGCATCAGTTAGCTCTCTGCCTTTTCCATTTTCCTTTCAGACTGAGCCTCTGAATCTGTCTCTATTTGTGACTCTAGTTTACATCTGGCTCAAGGATGGGGAGCCTCAGGAGGGCAGGTGGTAATGTGACCACTCTCAGGCACCCCTAGGCATTTATTCTATGCCAGGCCCTATGTTAAGTGCTGGAAGTACAGAAATGGACAGTACACTCTGTTTTCATGAAGCTACAATGCACATTCTATGTGGAGTGAACAAACCAAGGCTGCCCCTGACCTTGAATCTATCTGCTGCCCGTGCCCGGCAGTGCTGGGGTCAGCTATGGCCTGTGGCTTGGGACCTCTTACTAGCCTCTGGTATTGGAGGGGATATGTGTACCTGCCAGCAGGTCCCCCCAGATCTTAGCGCTCCTAGGAGGCCTGGCTGGTGGCTGGGGGTGGGCAGACAGTGGGCAGAAGGACAGGGAGGGAGCAGGAGGCAATGACTCAATGGGGCGGCCCTGGGACAGCTGGGGAGGGATCCAAGGTTGGTCCTGATGCTCGCTAAAGCTAGAGGAGGGTGGGGCCAGAGGTCCTGGCTGGGGGTTGGGGACAGAGCAGGACAATCCCAAGGCTCCTCTGGCAGCCAGATCAGCTCAAGAAGAAGGCTCCTAGGTAGCTGGTCTGAGAGTCTGGACTTTGGGTGCTGATGTGGCAGCTGGGAGTGGGGTGGGGGTGGGTTGCTCTTGTTACCACTGTGCCTGCTTTTGATGCCCAGGTTTGCTCCTCTAGCAGCCTCCAGGCTCCTGAGGGGGTGCCTGCTTTAAAGCCAAGGAAGCCATTATACCCACTGCCCCTCCCCTCCCAGAAACCAAGGGCCTGAGCATGTCGTGGGGCATAGTGCCTTCTTCTGGCTACACAGCCTACCTTCTTACACTTTTCCCACAAATTTTGGGGAATGTCAGGCCAGGCACACATGCCCTAAAGGCACCTCACACCTCAGAGCAGGTACCTTTCACCAGTTCAGGATCCCCTGAATGAAGGTGAAATGATGGGGAGGGCATGAACACAGCCTAAATGCTGGCAGCAACTGGACATCTGACACATGGGGTCTTCCTTCCTTATGGCAACCCCAGGAAAAAAAAATGACTTTTTTTTTTTAAACAGGTGAGTAAGGTGACGCTTAAAGAGAACTGAGTTGCTGGAGCTCACCCAGCAGGTAAGTGGAGGAGCAGGCCTGGGTTTGTGTCTCTGGCTTCAGGACCCTGACCTCAGCCCCATCCTCCTTGGCTGGACTTTGTGGGGAGGGGGGTAGGTGAAAGCGCCCAGGAAAGCACCAGAGTGGAGGGTCTGGGCCTGGTGGACTCCGGCAGGCCTGAGTCAGCTCCAGCCCAGATAGGAGTCCCCTACCGGGTCTTGGAATCATACAACCTGTCTTGGTGCCTGGGCCTGGAAGGAAGACTGAAGGCTGCAAGGGAGGGGAGCCCCTTCCTCCTACCCTCCATGAAGATAGCCCCACTGGTTCCTAGCAGCCCCAAGCAGCTGGTTTGGACTTAGAGGGTTTCTCTTTCTAGGGGCCTCCTGGGACCCTGGGCCCACACTTATCTTCTCCCGCGAGGAGTGAGTGCTCCCAGTTTTGAGGAGAGGGTGGGGCAGCGCCCCCATACTGCGTGCATTC